CTTCCCGAACCTGTTTGTTCGGTCGACGCTGCGCGTGCGTACGAAGGAGCAAGGTAGGGGGCCGGGGGGGCCGGGGGGGCCGGGGGGGCCGGGCGGGGGGGGGTGGGAGGGGACACCTGCTCTTGCCTGTGTGGCTGCTCCTGCCGGGCACTTTCTCCACCCGGGCATTCCTGTTTGATTGACTCTCGCTCCGACTTGCGACTCTTCTTCCTCCGGGCGCCTTGTGGGCGCCGGCATCTTCCGCTCCCCCCTGGCCTGCATTGTCGCCTCTGCCTTTGCTGTGCCCTCGTGGGGTGCCGCCCTTTCTCCCTCCTCCTGGGCGAAACGTGTCCAGCTTACTCTCTTCGATGGTGGCACCAACTTGCTTCTCCTCCCGCGCAGCCAGTACCAGGGCCGTCCCATGAGCGATTTGATGCTCGGCCACATCTGCCATGTCACGGGCTTCCAGCTGACGGGCCCGCATGATGCGGAGCTGATTGCCTCGGGTGAGGTGCCGCCCGGGCTACGTGACATTGTCCAGCCCTTCCTCGCCGAGTGCCATGCCGTGCGTGGCCGTCACTTCCCCGCCGCCGCCGCTGCCGCCGCCATCATTGCCACCACGACATGCCATCCTCCGCTTGCCTGCCCTGCCCCTGCCCCCTCCAGGGGCCTCGCCCCTGTTCGCTTGCTGACCGTGTGAGGGGCAAAAATACTCCACAGTTCCTGTCCACCTGCTTGATCTACCTGCTTCAGAACCGCGGTCGCGCGCTGCACTCCCTCCGGCGCAGCATCGCCGAGAGCGACGGCCTCCGGCGGATGGCCGTCCAAACGGACGCCAAACTCCAGGCCGCCCTGGCCAAGTGGCCGCACCATGCAACGGTGGCCGGTGATGCCGGCTCCCTCCCGGGCACCGGGTACTTCCAATTCCTGCACAACTATGCCGTGCACTTGAAGTTGTCCTTCATGCGCGACTTCCTGGCCCTCGGGACCGAGCTGCGCCTGTACAACCCCCACGAGCTGGCCTCGGTCTACTGGTACCAATCATACCTGGCCGCCAGCATGCAGAACCTCCACCGGACCATGGCCGCTCGGGTGCAGCAGATGGCCGCCATTCGTGACGCCGCTCGTGCGTATTCCCCCCCCCC